AAAACAATCCTAAGATATTGCCATTATTTGTAAAATCAACCTGGATTTTGAATGGAAGCTTCATTCATTTTGGAAAGAATAGGAACACTCGTAATCAACTCATCATTTTCATATTTGATATAGCCATATTAGGATACACCGGTTCAAATACTCTTTGCTCGATCGAGTTGACGAGTCAAAACGTCCAACATGTCGATATTCCCGAGTTGACATATGTAAGTCAACCTGCCGACGACTGGGGATTCTACATGAGCCATTTAAAGGCTAATGCCATCTTGACCAAAGTCGACGATGTCAAAGTCGACTTCCTAATTCAACTCCAGAAGTCGACTGTCACCAAGAAGATGAACAAGCGTAGCCTACGAATATTCACACGATCCTAAGTCGACCTCCAAGTGCTCGAGGTCGACTTCTTGCGCCTCGAGGCCTGAAACACAACGACGACTCAATATACTTAGAGTATCTCTTGAAGCCTCATATCCTCTAATGGATAAGAAGGAATCTTGTGATGACTAAGTAGAGAGGGGAAGACGAACCAACCGGGGCATTTCAGACATTTCAGGTGAGTCGACCAGGGCATTTTGGGTTCTTCCAGTAAGTGTTTTTTCCTATGTAAGGGGGGCTGAGGTAACTCTAAAACCCTAACTTCCACTCATTCCATACATTCCCTCTCTTGCTGCTGCTCTCTGAGAGCAGCCCTCTTCATCTCCTTCACATGCTAACTTGAGCGTCGGAGGCTCTATGCCGAAAACACTTCTGACATTGAGTTCTTGCAGGTGTATTGGCGGTCTAGCAAGGATTCAAAGGCGGTTCAAAAAGATCGGAGCTCACAACACCCGATTTACCCCAGATTTGAAAGTAGACCCATCATTTTGGCGTCGTCTATGGGGAGTTCTCGAAGGTATTAAGAGCTTTGCACCTACTTCCGATCTGTTTGCGATGGCTGAGAAGGAGGGATTGCAGAGGAACTTGAATGAGGAGTTCAGGGGAACCTGGACTGAGAGGAGACCCCCAACGGCTCCCAACACCAAACCAGTGATGCAGATCTTGGGTTACCACCGTTAGAAGTGCATATGGGGGAGGAGATGCCCATTACCCCACCCAGAGTCAAGATCCAGGTGTTGACCCAAGAAGGAACCAGTAAAACTAGGAACCCTAGCTCAGGAGTTGGAGAGAGGGAGCTAACAGAGATGCCTCAACGTGAGGGAAAACAAATTCAAGAAGTGCCGGAACAGATGCAAATGCAAACCCCAAGTCGAGGAGCACACATTGACAGTGACGAGAAGTGAGATGCAAAAGATGATATCCGAAGCCGTAGCTGCCCAGATGAAACAAGTGGTGCGAGTCGAGCAGAACCCGAGAGTTTAGAAGTAGCCCCGAGTTGAGCAACATGCCCAGTCGAACGAGCACCACAATAGGAGGGCAGACGAGGATGAATCCTCAGTCAGAACCATCGACCCGCAGGCGAGAGATGAAACATTAGAGCAGTTGATGGCCCAGGTTCACGACTTGCAAGCTCGAGTTGGAGAAAAGAAGGGCAGAGACGCGAGAGAGCACCCATTCTCGCAACACATTCTAAGGGCCGACTTGCCGCAGGGCTTCAAGGAATTAAACATATGGTATGATGGCTCTACTGACCCGTCTCGACATCTGAGAAGCTTTGAAAACATGGACCGGCTCAGGACCGGTTCCACCAATTACCAGTTGGGTCGATTCAGGACTTTGATGGTTTCAGTTCAAGCTTCTTCAATCAGTTTGTGAGTGTTGGAGTTTAGGAGAAATCTTATCTTTCATTAATCAGCATGGAACAGAAGAAGAGAGAATCACTGCGAGATTATGTGGCAAGGTTTACGAGAGCATGTGTCGACGTGCCCACCGCGATAGAGGAGATCAAATCAGGAGGATTGACAAGAGGGCTGTTGCCAGGATTGTGCAAGAATTCCTTGACGAAACGACCTGGCAGAAGCTTCGATGATGTTTTGGGGAGATGCGCGAAATACATGAATGTCGAAGAGGCGGAGGCCGATTACTTGCAAAATACAAAGGTGGCCCAGAAAGAAAGTCGAGATGAGAAGAAAGAAAAGAAAGTTCATTCGATGGGAGAGAGGAGAGGATCCCCGCGAGAAGATGGGGGCGAAGGATGATCGAGGGGATGGAGGCAGATTCACTACACATCCCTGTCGGCTCTCCATGCAAGAATATTAGAAGTTATGGAGAGGGAAATTCATTAGGATGTGGTGAGATGGCCGAAGACGAGAAAAGATGGACCTGTGAAGCCGAAAAGCAATTTGTACTGTCGATTTCACAAGGACTACGAGCATAACACTGACGATTGCAGACATCTCAAAGATGAGATCGAGAGGCTGATTAAGGCAAGACATTTGAAAGAGTTTATATACAAGGATCGTGAAAGGTCGAGCAAGCAAAGAGAGAGAAGCAAGAGTCCTCACAAGAGGGCGAGATCACCAGAAAAGGAGGAACTCCCCCCGAAAAAGGGAGTAATTCATATTATATTTGGCGGGTCGACAGATGGAGACTCTAATCGAGCAAGGAAGGCGTATGCTCCGAGTTGATATGCGAAAGTCAAGGTGCCGACGAAAACAGGCCAGTGATGAATTTTGGGCCTGTGGACATTGGGGAAGTCGAGAGTCCCAACAATGATGCTCTAATGATAATGGCGCAGGTGTTGGGATACAAAGTACAAAGAGTGCTTGTCGATACAGGGAGTTCTGTGAATGTGATCTTTTATGATTGTCTCAAAAGGATGGAACTCGACATCGAGCTCACACCTCTACACACATCACTCTTTGGATTTAATGGGTCGGAAGTCGCGCCTGGGGAGAAACCATGCTCGTTGTCGTCCTGAGAGAGGGCGACTTGAGGAAGGTGAAAATGGTCAGGTTTGTGGTAGTCGATGTCGAGTCGACTTATAACGTGATCCTTGGAAGGCCAGCCCTTAACGCCTTCCAAGCAGTCGTGTCGACTTACCATATGAAGTTAAAATTCCCTGTGGCAGATCGGGTTGGAGAAGCTCGAGGGGATCAAAAGCTATCAAGGACCTGCTACCAGATAGCAGTGAAAACCAATCAACGAGCCAAAATTAAGGAGGGAAAGAAACCAATGACGAGCGAGGAAAGTCCGCGAGGGAGTGATCTTGAACCGCATGGAGAACTAATGGAGATCCAAATCGGGGAAAGAGAGGATCAGACCACTAAAGTCGGGAGAGAGCTCGAGGACGAGTTGAGGAAACAATTAGTGGAGTTGTTGAAGGAATTTCAAGACATATTTGCCTTTTCTCAAGAGGAGCTGACAGGGATCGACCCGGAGGTCATGGAACACAAAATTAATGTCGATGAGAATGTCCGTGAAGCAACGACTCAGGCATCATGGAGCTGAAATTGACAATGCCATTGAAGTCGAGGTGGAAAAGTTATTGAAGTCCAAACACATCAAAGAAATCCACTTTCCCAAATGGATATCAAATGCTGAGATGGTGAGAAAAGCGCTGAACAAATGGTGCATGTGTATCGACTTCCGTGACTTAAACCTAGCGTGCCCAAAAGACCACTATCCGTTACCAAGAATCGACTAGCTGGTTGACTCTACTGCTAGTTGTGAGCTATTAAGTATGATTGATGCTTCCCAAGGGTATCGCCAATTTCCCTTGGCCCCCGAGGATCAAAGCAAGGTGAGCTTCGTGACGAGCAAGGGGACATACTGTTATGCCGTCATGCCCTTCGGACTCAAGAATGCAGGGGCGACTTACCAAAGATTGATGGATCGCATGTTCAAATCCAAAATATGGAAGTGTACGTTGACGACATCCTGGTTAAGAGAAAATCCTTGACCCACAATCAGACTATCTAAGGGAAACATTCAAAACCCTTAGAGCGTTTGAGATGAAGTTGAACCCGAACAAGTGTGCCTTTGGAGTAAGGGCAGGACGATTTCTCGGATATGTTGTCACAGAATAAGGGCTCAAGAAGAACAAAGACAAAGTGAAGGCCATACTCGTCATGGCTACGCCACAAAATATTCGAGAGGTGCAGGTCTTAACAGGAAGAATTGCGGGGTTAAGAAGATTCACCGCTCGAGCGGCAGAAAAAAGTTTTCCTTTCTTTAAATTGCTCAAGAAGAAGTCGACTTTCCTATGGAGTGACGATGCGCGAATGGCGTTCGAGAAGCTGAAAGTATTTCTAAGCGAGTTGCCCTTATTAACAAAACCAGAGCAGGGTGACGAGTTAGTGTTATACATCTCGGTGGGATTAAAATCTTTGAGCTCGGTGTTGCTGCGAGAAAAGACTCCCAGAAGCCGATATATTACACAAGTCGAGTACTCTAAGGAGCTGAGACGAGATATATTGAGGTCAAGAAAGCCGCTCAAACTTTGGTGGTAACGGCTAGGAAGTTGAGGCCGTATTTTCTAAATCATACAGTGGTGGTGCGAATGAATTTTCAACTTGGAGAAACACTGGGATGACCTATGGTGTCGGGTCGATTGGTGAAATGGACAGTCGAGTTGAGCGAATATTTCATCAAGTATGAGCCCAGACGAGCCATAAAGGCTCAAGCCTTAACTGACTTTATCCAAGAATGTACTAAAGGAGAAGAAAAGAAGTAGATGATGCATGTCGATGGGTCCTCTGCGGCCAAAGGATCTGGTCTGAGAGTCATCCACATGTCTCCGGAGCGT